AAACTCCGACGAAACAGTTTGTCACAGCCCCTCGTTTGTTGTCCTCTTCTCCCTCTCTGCCTACGGTTTACCGGGCAGTTCTATTTGACGATATATATATTGTATAAAGATTTTCGGACATCATCTAAGCACAAAATTGCTTGAAGAAATGCATGTAGTATGTACTATGTACATATGTTGTTTTCAGAATTTTTGAATTCTTTTAAATCTTTTTTAGATGTTTTGGCACGCGTGGATGATATACAGCTTGCCAGTGGGGTGCATGCTGTGCGCTGCATGTCTGAACTTTGCATGCACATGACGCCCTGCAAGTATGAGTACTGTCAATCGTAGGTGTCACACAGATGTGCAGTGCGGTGCGCTGTGCATTGCATTGTGCCTCGAAAATCAGTGCAGTGCACCAAAAATCAGGAAATGTGGAAACATATTCAAAGGAAACCGTTTTTTACTTTTTTATTTAATTTTTAATTAATTAAAAGAAAGGTTGTGTGAACTTGTGTCCCATACAAAAGTTGCTCAAACTAACATTCCACATCGTAGTTTTCAGTGTTCTAGGAGGTGATTTTCAGAGCTGTTTTTTCTTTCTCCTACCAACGGACCTAGGGCAGTTGGTACACCCATGAGCTGTTGAAATAGAGACCCGAGTTCGGTTCCAGATGCAATCAGATGAACAGAATAAGTAATTCTGAATTATCTGGGGCTGGTCAGTTCAATCATCACTGACGAATCTCAAGGCCCTCGCCCCTTGGGGGGGGGGGGAGAAGTTTTTTTCCTTTTTTTCTCCTAAGAAAAAAAGATATAAAAAAACGTCTTTTTAAGTTTTTAACGTTTTTGGGCATCTGTATTTCGACAGCTCATGGGTGTACCAACTGTGCCAGGCCCGTTGGTAGGAAAAAGAAACAGCTCTGAAAGGGGGGGGAAGTTTTTTACTTTTTTTCTCCTAAAAAAAAAAGATATAAAAATGTATTTTTAACGTTTTTGGGCGTCTGTATTTCGACAGCTCATGGGTGTACCAACTGTGCCAGGCCAGTTGGTAGGAAAAAGAAACAGCTCTGAAAATCACCCCCTACAGAACTGAAACTACGATGTGAAATGTTAGTTTGAGCAACTAACTTTGAAGTACGATGTGAAATGTTAGTTTGAGCAACTTTTGTATGGGACACAAGTTCACACAACCTTTTTTTGAATTTATAAAAAATTAAATAAAAAGTACAAAACGGTTTCCTTTGAAAATGTTTCCACATTTCCTGATTTTTGGTGCACTGCACTGATTTTCGAGGCACAATGCAATGCACAGCGCACCGCATTGCCCATCTGTGTGACACCTACGATTGATAGTATACTACTCAATACAACTCATACTTGCAGGGCATCATGTGCATGCAAAGTTCACACGTGCGGCACACAGCGTGCACCCCAAAACACGAAAAAAAAAAACACGTTTTTTTTAATTTTCTTTCTCCGAAAAAAAAAAGAAAAAAAAAAAGAAAACTTGTTTTTCTCCAGATTTTGTCATCTGCATACAGCATGTGCAGCACACAAGCACACTGTCCATTGTGTGGCGCAGCACTTCACACACACCTCGTATACACTAATCATTCTACATCAACCATGGCTAAAAGCTGATCCAGACATTGGACTACCATCTTCACCCGAATAGAACGCCCGGTCATTATAGCTGTATTTGGCACAACTTTCGGTCCAGACTCCAGACTCCAGATGCAGCAATAATGACCGGGCGTTCTATTCAGGTGACAACAGTAGGTCTGGACCTCTGACATGGAGGTCGTCCAGGCTCCAGACCACATTCTGTTGCCACACGTGTTCGATGTGCTGTGCATTGTACGATGCGCTATTGAGTACTATTAACTGATGATGAAAAAAAGTCGTATATTTCACTTGTTGCTCCGTAAAGCTCCAACCGATTCTGCACCTCTGAAATCTGAAATCGTTTCACAGAGTCGAACTATAGCGAAGGGAAAAAGTTTCAAAACTTCAAAAAAGACTTCAAATTTGAAGAGTATATATAATAAGAGTTTAAGAAATGAAAAAGAATTTTTCGGGGAAAAGTGATGTAAAAACTCGTTAAAAGTTAAAAGTAGTAAAGCTGGTCAAATCTACGAAGAACTGAGGGACAGGCCGAACTGGTGCTATGTTGGTGTGCTAAAAACACACGAACCTAGCCGGTCTTATGACCTGGTTCATGCGCTTTTTATGATCACAAAGTGTCTTTAACTTAGTTAGTACCAGCAGGACCTGGTCCTTAGTGGAACTGCAAATATTCAAAATTGAAAATTGATTCCAAGCAATTTTTTTTGTGTCAAGATCATATCCCAGATCATCGGTTCTGTTGATCAAAAGTTAAAAAACTGTAAAAACAGTGAACCTAATTTTTCGAACTTATTTCTGTACATCGCCCCGTTTTTTGTTTTTGTCACTTTTAGAGTCTTTTACAACTTTTTGTCGAGTTCTCAAGAATGGCATCTGTTTTTGAGTTCATCTCTGCACAGCTGCAGATTCCTGACTTGGTTAGCTCATTGCATACTGCCATCGGTGCAGTCAGGAAATCAAAGTCAAATTGCCCTGGCAAATTTTTATAATCATGAACTTGGCCATTCTTTTACATGTTTTTTGAAGTTTTTTCGCTCATCTGAATTCTGTGGAATGCACTGGAATCCAATGCTTTTTTTTTCTCCTTTTTTTTTTTTGGGGGGGGGGGGGGACAGAATGTAAACTTGGTAAAGTGATTGCTTGTCATTCATTTCTTGATGAAATCGAAAAGCCGTGGAGGATGGTATACATCGCAGATTTCCAGATCCAAACATTAATCAAAACATTCATCCAAAAAACCGAGAGCCTAGCTCAGTGGGTACACCAATGAACTATTGAAATACAGACCCGGGTTCGAATCCACATGATGGAACTTGATGAGTAAAACCAAATATTTCTGAATTGCCTTGGGCCGGTCAGCTCCATGATATGATATCTCAAGGTCGTCGCCCTTTCAACCAATCAAC